TTGAGGATTATTAAGAGTCAATCCCACATTGGTTAATTTAGTGGAAGATCATGAGTTTATAAGTAAAGAATAGTATCTCCATTGGTATGAGGTCTTTTGGGAAGCCCAAAGCAAAGTCATGAGAGCTTAAACTCAGAGTGGAAAATATCATACAATTGTGGACAGTCGTGATTCTTAACACTTAATGAGATAAACCGAACAACACTTGTGTAGAATCTAAGTTTGTTTGTCCACACACGGCGTGGACCTTTTGAGGTTGTAAGACACATTGGAAGAGATTTTCACACTCTTATAAGAAATGTTCAACGCCCTCATTGGTACACCGCTCGATGACTGGCTGTGCTACAATTTGTAACAACAAAACCATACCACTAGCAGATACTATTCTCTTTGCGCTTTACTTTTCCGATTTTACTTGACGTGGGATCTCACAGGAACTCAAGCCCAATCATGACTTGTTACCATACTTTGCAGTCTCGTTAAACCTTGGGTGAATCTCTCCATTGATACTCATGCAGAAACTAAGACTTGTTCGACCATAAACCTCACTTATGTGTGCATGTTTACTTGCATAGACTCTAGCCGACTTGCTTTTACATCGAGGCAAGTCCTTCGACTCGACTTTGCCTTTATTTAAGTTAAGATTCTTAAAACGCAACGTCGCATCTCATCTTGTTATTTTGATTCTCAACGATACAACAACCTCACTTCATGATGACGTCAATTGTGAGATCCCACATCGATCAGGGCATAGAAATCTCTCAGATATAAACTTTTTAAGCTATATTTATGATTAAAGGGTCAAATTAGTACTTTTCTTTAAAGTTTAAGGAAGGTTAGGTCAAAACTTCCATAGTGGGAAAACAACTTCATTTTTTATTTTATTTATTTTTAATACAAAAAATTTAAACCATACAATATATATTATTTTTTAAATTAAAAAACATTTTACCTATCAAGCCATACTTATATAGTTGAATTATGTTTATTTGACCATTTTTTTTTAAATAATTATAACATAAAATAAGAATATTCAAATATAAAATATAAAAAACAATTTGACTTCGTCAATTGAGTAAATAAATTATATTTGTGTGGTCTTCAATTTAATTGGTTAGGTTTATGTTAGGCTTTAAATTATTTGGGACAATAACTAACCATTTATTTAGTCAATTTTGAATTGGTTATCTAAATATATATTTAATATTAAATATTAATCTAAATTAAATAAAATATCATTAAATTTTTTATTTTATAAAAAAAAAATGTCTATAAACCTAGATTTTTTATTTTAATTTTTTAAATAATATTTTAAAAATATTATTGAACTAAAAAAATTCATTAATACTCTTTAAACTTTTTTTTAAAAGTTTTAAAAAATATTAAACGGTTTAGAAAATACTCACAAATTTTTAAAAGTAGTATTAACGCCTTTATCTTTATATAAAAAAAAATTTAAAAATATTACTGTCAATATATAGATAAAAACCGCATAGATTATCTCCAAATTTTTAATGTTAAACTCACAATATATTTTAATTTCTTTTGAAAGTAGTAAGGGTATTATTGTAAATTTAATAACAAATTATAAAGTTTAAAGGTTTATTTATTTATTTATTAATATAGTCTTTAATATTATTGTGTTTCTAATTGGGCTTGGAAAACATTGAATCAGATCCATTTATGGGCCTTGAAGAGTTGGGAGTATAATTCGGCCCATATAAATTCCAGGCGGCTCATTTTTTCAAACACAAAGGCCCATTTATGGCCCATGTAGATCCCAGGCGGCCCATTTAAAAAAGGCTTAATAATATGAATGTCAAAATTCCCTTGGAAAATAGAAAAATAGTAAAGTATAATATTTTAATGTTAAATAAAATGTACTAATTGGCTAACTAAAATAACCAAGTCCATTCCAACAAACGAACATTATCAGATCTAAGAATTAGATTCCCGACACCCAACTCCACATACATAATTATATCGACGAATTAAACTTGTTTTTAATCAATACAGGTACGTTTTGTGCATTTTCAAACTTCCCATATCAGTTAACAACGATACATAACTCGAGTCTCTCTAGTAAACGAGTTAGTATACCCTAACTCGAGCTCATTTTCAAGTCGACGTTACATTATTGGTTGAGTATGGAAACAAAAGAAAGTACAAAATTAAATTGCCTAGGAAGCTACACCCAAAACCACATGGTTCATACACTCCAAACACAAAATGACATAAAAACCATGCAAACCCCACAAACAATTAAGGAAAAACAAAGGGCAATTTGGGGAATTGTCATTGGTAATAATTAAAAATAATATATATATGTGCAGAGGGGTGAGCTGGGAATATAATGAAGGGTGCAGGCAGTACCTAACAACACAAGAACAAGATCTGCAAATTTTATTTTATTTTATTTTATTTTTCTCAAAAATAAATAAATAAATAAATAAATAAAGTACTGACAATTGTCAGAATATCGTCTGCAAATATTATTATTTTAATTTTAATTAATATTTAAAGAACAAAATCTGAGACAGATTCATAATGCTGAGTGGTACCTATGGCGGTGAAAATTAGGTTGTCCCCTCCCCCACTTATTTTATTATTATTTTTAATTATTTCTCTTTAAATACGATTTTTTTTAAATAAAAAAAATTACGGTAAAACATTATTAGATTTCAAAAGTTTATACATTTTTTATAATTAATTACATACTCTTTTATTTATATATATATATATTTATATATATATATATATATATATATATATATATATATAGTTCAATGATTAAGACGTTTACTTATTCACTATCATTGGTTGATAAGAAATCTCTATGACTGTCCGAGTAATTGCATTTTTAACCGCTTAAGACCATCACTAGTAGATATTATCCGTTTTGGCCAATTATGTATCGTCGTCAGCCCTCCCATGATTAAAGAAAAAAGGGAGAGGTTTCCTCACAGCCATATAAGGAATGATTCGTTCTCCTCTCCAATTAATGTGAGATTTCACAGTTAGCGTCCTCCTTGCACACCTCCCTAGTGTCTAACTCTTATATCATTTGTAACAGTCTAAGCCCGTTGTTAGCTAATATTGTCCGCTTTGGCTTGTTACGTATCATCATCAGTCTCACAATTTCCAAACGCGTCTATTAGTGGGAGGATCTCACACCCTTATAAAGAATGTTTTGTTACCCTCTCCAGCAGGATCTCACACAAAAATTTAATAAACCTTAAATATTAAAGATTCACAAGTTACGTCAAATATTATTACGGTTCGAAATAATCTTCAAAGTAAAGTTAGGTTATAATTTTATTTTTAGGTTCCCGACTAAAAAAATATATATATTGCAATATTAAAAAAATCGATAAATATAATAAATGGGGGAAATAAAAAAATAAAAAAATAAAAAAATAAAAAAATTATGAACCGAAACTGACAATGGAAAGATCAAAATAAGATAGAGGAAGACAAAAAGACTTGGAGAGAGACAAAGAATTCGACAAATTAAAAATAATAATAATAATAATATGATAATAAATGAGTTTAAATAACAATTTAATTTGAATTTTTTTATTTCATCTCAATTTATTATTTGTATATTTAAATTTAATTTTTATATTTCCTATAAATATTAATTAAGTCATTTAAAGTTTTTTTTAATAAAAAAAGCAACGAAAAACTATTATATTAAAATTTTATTAAATTTATGATTAAATATGGATCGTTAAAAGATATTTATCTTCAATCAAGATGTCAGTATTTGACATCTTCATAAAGAACATGTATTTTAACTAATTTTTATTAATTTGTCAATATAAAAGTCTAAGAGATTCGAACATTTGACCTCTAAAATAAAAGTGTTACATGTTATATATCAATTGAGTATAACATGTTGACATATTTTAACCAGTTGAGCTACATAAAATTGGTTGTTTGAGTATTACGGGACATCGAGCATGATGGGATGGTTAAAGTGATTGAAATAGGTTGGTCCAATAATGTTCTTAGCATTTAGGGGTAGTAATGTAATTGCACGTTGATTTAATGAGAGTGGTTATGATTGTATTTTTAGAAAAACTTTGAAGGAAGTAGGTTTTGTTTGGGACAATTTTAGGAACTTCGTACTATTTATTTATTTATTATCTTTTTTTTTAATATAATTTATGTTTTGAATAACTGTGATGTTGTGAGATTCTCCATTGGTTGGGAGAGAGTAACGAAACATTAATGTGTGGAAACCTCTCACTACGAGACACGTTTTAAAACTGAGGCCGACGACGATGGGCTAAAATGGACAATATTTATTAGTAGTGGGCTTGGACCGTTATAAATGGTGCTAGAGTTGGACACCAAGCAGTGTGTCAACGAGGGACGCTGAGCCTAATAAGGGGTGGAAACTTCTCCCCTACCTCTCGAATTTTAAAATCGTGAGGAAGTCGACCCCCAACAAAGGTGTTGAAACTTCTCCCTTACCTCTCGGATTTTAAAATCACGAGACGGACGACGATACACAACGGGCAATAGCTGACAATATCAGCCAACAATGTATTTTAGGTATTACATTTAGTTATTGATGTAAGATTTCATAATAATAATAAAAAAAACATCCCGACAGTCCAAATAACCTGTAAATTTTAGTTTAATTCAAAAGGTTTTGACAACTCAATCTAACCGAACTCGAACGTACCGTACTAGCAGAAGGGTAAAAAAAAAAAAAGAAAAAGGAAATGACGATTTTACCCCTAAATTATTTAATTAATTTAGTTTGATTGCTTCACAGCTGTATGTATACAGAAACGGAGCTCTTTTTAACTCTTCCCCAAACCACACGGCCCACATGTCCGGTCACCTTTTTCTATCCATCTTTTCACTGACCAGATTCCTATTTTTCTTTTTTTATTTATTTTTTTAATCTCTTTTTCTCAATTTAATAATTATTATTATTATAATAAAAATAATAAAAAAAGATTAATTATTCCTATAAATTATCCCCCAATCCCTTCAAACCCTCTTCCCCCTTCCCTTCTTCCCTAATCGCCATTGCCGAAGCCTCTCTGTTTTCAAGCTTTTCTGGTTCTTCTTCTTCTTCCTCCCCAGAAATCTGAGATTTTATCTTCTGGGTGTTCATAATCTTCACCCACATAGCCCCTCCATTCTTGATGTTCAATACTCTGTTCTTGATGTTTGAAATTCATGCATCTAATTCTCAGTGAACCCATCCTCTGTTCTGGTTGTATGATCATAATCTCCACATTCCGCCGCCATCACCTCGTTCAATCCTTCTCTGTTGTTTTCCTTTACTTTCTTTACTATGTTTCATGATATGGCCCCTTAAAAAAAACACCCCATAATCCAAATCATTAAAAAAAAAAAACAAAATTAATAGCTGTTCTCAGTCCTGTTATTGCTCTGTTTTTCTCTGTTGTGCTCTGTTTTTCTCTGTTTTTTTTGTTGGGTTTGTCGTTTTAATGGCTTCCTCTAGTGGGACATCTTCGACTTCTTCATCCATGGAAGAAGGGGAACTGGCGGCGTTGATGGAACAGAGGAAGAGGAAGAGAATGATTTCGAATCGGGAATCGGCGAGGAGATCGAGGATGAGGAAGCAAAAGCATTTGGATGAGTTAATGGCGATGGTGGCGCAGCTCAGGAAGGATAATCAACAAATCGTGGCTAATCTTGGTGTTACAACGCAGCACTACGCCGCCGTGGAGGCTGAGAATTCCATTCTCAGAGCTCAGGCGGCTGAGCTCGGTCATCGCCTCCAGTCCTTGAATGAAATCATTTCTTTCTTGAATCCGTCTGATGGGGTTTTTGAAGATGCTTGTAATGATTCCTACGGCGTCCACGGCGGCGGCGGTGGAGGGGATTTTAATCCTCTCCAAATGGCTTTCTTTATGAGCCAGCCTCTTATGGAGTACTGAAATTTGGGGACTTCTCTTTCTCTCTCTACTGGTATGAATTTTCTCGGCATCCAAACAAGGAGAGAGAAAGAGAAGGGCAGTGTTCTTAGGGTCAAAATTGGATTTTTTTTTTTTTTTTTTTTTTTTTTTTTTTTTTTTTTTTTTTTTTTTTTTTTTTTTTTTTTTTTTTTTTTTTTT